TATTGAATAATCATATTTCTTGAATAGAATATTATTAAAAAAATATTCTCAAAATTTAAAAGTAAAAACGTTTTCTATTTTTATGTTTTCGGAAACAGTTTTTCAGAATGGTAAAGAGAACGTATTTTCAGAAATTTCAAAACAGACACTTAAAACACAAAATACAAAACGAATTCAAAACTCAAAACACAAAACTGAAACACAAAGAGAACGGTCCCTAATTAACTATACAATAGGGATTCAATCCCTAATTCTATGAGTATGATTAGGGTATACAAGAAAATAATTAATTTGCTCTAATAAACACTTTTTTTTTTTTTCTTTCAAAACAAGCCAAAACCAAACTTCGAGGTATTGTAGTAATTCTAGAAGGAGAACACGAAACATGGATATCCTAGACAATTTCACTAGGCATTAAGCTGACAATTTCTTAAGGCATTAAGCCGACAGGGAACACTGAATGTGGCAGCCCTTATGGCGACAATCAAGAACTTGACGAAAGTCATGGATCGAATTGAGCTAAATCAGACTGCCCACATTTAGTGCTACAGAAATTGAGGTGGAATCACCGGCTCACCACTAAGAAGGTTGTCCCCTGTAAGGAGGCGGTTGCACTTTTCCAAAGACGAACTCACTATGAGCACAAAGGATAAAACAAGGCAAGCTCATGCACCCAATAGGTAGATAATTAATCCCCAAGCAAGAAGGAAGTGTCCTCGACCACCTAAGAATGCCCAACCAACCTAGAGTAACGGAGGAGAAAACCTCTTAATCGCAGGCCCATCTCTCCACATCATGCCGCGTCTGCTGCTTATGGAGGCTAATGCAAACTAGAACAAATGAAAAGTGCATACCTGACCTGGATACAAAGAAAAAGGCATGACGGAGGAATACATTGCAAACAATCACTCCCACTTTTCAGAATATATCTTGTCTGAGTCACTGTCGGGAAATCTCAAAGTGCCCCAACTGATGGGATACAAAAGCATTAGTAATACCAATAGGTTACATGAACAAATATACTGCTTGGATGGAGCTCCAAGACACCAATGATGTAATCATGATAGAGCTTTTGCTCTAACATTTGACGACCGAGCTAAAAAGTCGTCTAAAAAGCTACAAAATAGGTCCATATGGAGCATGAACTAGCAATTGCCTTCCAATCTCTATTCAAGGGGTTCCGAGCTCAGGCTATCCCTAAGGAATGCTTGGTTAGCATCAAGCAAGGATGCACAGAAAATCTCAATATCTACCTTAACTTGTTCAATAAGTCGTTTAGCTGGAAAGGATCTCTGATGATGCCACATAATGGGAACAATCTTGGGTCTTTGAGCAAGGACCAGATTTTGGAGGGCCTTGCGTTAGCAAAGCTAGACACCAGCAAAGGCGTGAAAGAACTCGAAGGCACCCCCACTCAGGAGGATAAGGTAACCCACGAAAAAGAAACACAAAAGTGTGCATGTTAGAAATTCACAAAGGATTTAAGTTCTGCGGTCTAGCCTTAGCTAGATCCAAGTTCGAGTGAATCTGCTGCACACATGAAAAGAAATATATCAAGGTTTTTCAGTTCTGAGGTCTAGACTAAGCTAGCTCCAACCTCAAGTGTTCATGTGCAACACACTTGTACAGAAATCCACAAAGGATTTCAGCTGTGAGTATAGCCTTAACTGGATCCAACCTCAAGTATCATATGCTGTGCACATAGAGATATATCCACAAAGGATTTCAATTCTGATGTCTAATCCTAGCTAGATTCAACCTCAAGTGTGCATATGTTGTACACTTGGAGAGAAATCTATACAATATTTCAGTTATGAGTTCTAGGCTTTATTAGATCCGATCTCAAGTGTAAATGCGCTGAACATGTGAAGAGAAATTCACAAAGGATTTCAATTATGAGTTCTAGCCTTATCTAGATTGCACATTTTTTTGCATGTGCTGCACACACAAAGAGAAATCCATAAATGATTTTAATTCGAAGATATTAGCTAGATCAGATTTAAGTGTGCATGTGCTACAGAGTTGGAGAGTAATCTATAAAGAATTTTAGTTATGAGGTCTAGCCTTGACTAGATTTGATCTCAAATGTATGTGTTGCATGTATGTTTTAACATCAACAGTATGCATTACTATATGGTTTTTCTGGCTGTGGAAATAAAATGACTCCAACTTCTGAGAGTGATCTTATTACAAGACAATAAAAGATTTGGAACTGATAACATTAAGTAGGAAATTAAAGAGAACAAAGATATGAATCTTGTAATTATAATCAAATTACTTTCTTTCTACCTGAGGAAATTTGACTAGCGAAACACCCCATTGGAGTGACTCAGGGGAATTCTGAGATCAGTAATCTCACGAGATTGTTATTGTTTCCTTGTTAGGATCCCATTTCACTAATTTGTATTGAGAACTTTCTGTTTCGCATTAACAATGGGCTGCTTCTCCAGATCAGTTCTTTCTTTAGTCGAATGCAATTCAACTTCGTCTAAAGACGGGTACGATCTTCCACTTCCACGAACTAGATCTTTAATTTCGGTGATAAGAACTTGTCCTTCAGCAGGGACTCCACAGTCACATGTACCCCTGAGTAATAGGGAAGCTGCCATTAACAAAGGAAAAATGATTAAAAGAAAATTGCATTGATGCAACATATAGTTAATAAACAGTATGAAAAAGGAGTATGCACATACGATATCGCCAATAGTGTTTCGGATTTGTTGGGTCATTGATCGTCTCCTCTGCTGCAGGTCGTGTTGTGTACTCCTCTTTCAGTGCTACCAAATCCTGTCTAGCACACAAAACTGTGACAATTCATTTAAAATAAGTAGGACACTAAACAGGCATATGGATGCATGATATGTAACGTCCTTCCTCGATTGAACCTATAGTATGTTTATCTAAGCTCAAAAAGAAGTAACAGTTACTGTTTCCAAACATGTTTAGACAAAAGTAAAAAAGTTATTTCCTACTTTGACCAAAAAAAAAAAAATTATTTATTTGAGAAATTTTACTTACGAGCTTTTTAAGCTTAGCCAAACATTTTCTTGGCCAATATTTTTAAGACGACTGCAAAAGCACTCTTTGTGTATCCAAGTACCTGAAGTGGAAAAATTGCCCACGTTGATGGAGATTCAAAGTGCTGCTGCAAAATGAAGTACACAATCTCGGGAATGCATTGATCAGGTGGCAATATATCAGTTCCCATGACATTCTTGAAATATCTACGTCTTGTTTCTTCATCTTCTTACCACCAAGCGCACAACGTGGAACAGTAGTGACATGAAGGAGCACACACCTAAAACAGGTTAAGCAAGAACGATTATTTGATTATGGGCCTTTTTCTACATTGACTATGGTCCACATCATTTTATTTCCAAGATTTTTGAGTGGAAGTGTAGCGACCCGAATTTTAAAA